ATAGATATATATATAGATATATATATAGCTAGAATCATCAGCTGATGACAACAGCTTTATTTGTCCATAAATCCCAAAGAAACATACCCATTACAGGAACTACGTGCTTGGTTTCAACACATAGATATCCAAATGACATTAAACTTTCTGCTTTTGAATGCAGACAAAATAGAAGCTTTGTCTTACAAATACCATGACCGGGGATAATGCTTAGAAACTAGTCCATGCATTTGTTACTTCAAGGCTGGATTATTGTCATTCTTTACTATCAGGAAGTCCATGAACTTTAGTTAAAAGCCTTCGGCTAATCCCTTCATTGGCTCCAGCTATTAAATCTAAGATAGAGTTTAAAATTCTCCTTCTTATTCATAAATCCTTAAAAACAAAATCCATCTCCATCTTATATCAGAGATCTGAAGTTGCCTGTCTTCCTAACAGAGATTTTCGCACTCAGTCTGGAGGTTTATCAGTAGATCCTAAAATTTAGAAGTAGAATGGAGCACATTTTTTAGTTAAAAGGCTCCAACTACTACTTTTAGTGAGGCAGGCTAGGCTTAAAACATTCAGTTTTATTACAACTTATAGTAAGAATGGCTTAGGTTATCCTGAGCTATCTCTATAGTTATGCTGTTTTAGGCTTAAGCTCCATTTACACTACCCTTTCGAAACCGTGCCAAAATCGGTCCAAGCACAGTAACCGAGACAACTGTTGAGAGTAATTGGCACACATAACTAAACTGGACCGCACCAAACACAACCAAAACTGGTACTAGTTCATCAGTAGGGCTCGGCAGACCGTGTCATCTCCCTATGGTCAGCCTCCGCAATCATGAAATTTCCTACATGCATAAAAATACTAGCTTCCCTACCTTGCCTCACGATTTCCAGTGATGACTCTGCTTAGCAGTGTGAACTTTAACGTCTATAATTGTTTCCTGCATCTTTAAGTCCTGATTTACACTATCATTTGTCGTATTCACTTCCCAAAAGCTGACTCTGTCAAGTAAATTCACCAAAGGCTGCCTTTTTCGCCTGACTCTCCACAAACAATATCACCATTATAACCAGACTTCCTGAATGTTAAGGCCTCCACCTATGATGGGTCTGTTTAAAAGGGAAGGAGCCGGGCTAGCGGGGTGTGTAAACAGTCGTGAGGGAACCAAACTCGGCACAGTTAACTGATCCAAGCTCAGTCTGAACTCGGCACAGATTGGTTTTCAGACGGTATTGTAAATGGGGTTTTAGACTGCTGGAGGACATTTAGACTGCTTTTTATCATTCTCCTTAATTTAGTCTCTGTTCCCAATACTGCGGTATTTGTTAGTTTAACCCCGAACTTTATGTTCCTGCTGCTATTTCTTGTGATAGTAGCTTCATCTGGCCCGGTTCTGTTTGGCTGAAACACCTTTCGGGAGGGAAAAAAAACAGCTGAGCTGCTGCCATCAACATGTCTGATTATAGATGATAAAGTTGGGCCTGTTTTTCAGGGCTTAGTCCTTTTTCTTTCCTGGATATACCTATTGACCTAGTCTTTACTGTGACTAAATGTATGTACCCTCTTTCATATCTTTTGGCATAAAAACTGGCACAGAGCTCATCTGCTTAACTGTCTAATTCCTAGACAGAGCTACATATGGAGCTAGTGTACTGTTCCTTTCTCTAGTATACCAACAATTTATGGATCAGTTCTTCTATGTTCCTTTTCTGTGTGTCTGCTTCTGTCCTCTCAAATCCTCAGTTGTCCTTGGCTTATCAACTAAGCTTGCTTCTGCTGGAGGTTTCTTCCTGTTAAAAGGGAGTTTCTCCTCTTGCTGTCACTACATGCACACCTAGAGTAAGGGATTGTTTAAGAGTCACAATGCAAGCAAATGTCTACTGTCGCCACATCCTAATCCAGGAGGAGTGAATCCTGAAAAGTCAATGAAACGATGCAATCAGCCAGTTTTTCTTGCAACATTTTAATCAATCTGGCTTAATGATCCGACTGAATTGTCTCTGTAAAGTGCCTTGAGATGATGTGTGAATAATAGCATTTGTTTATATAAATAAACAGAATTAAATTAAATTGGATTGAAATGAACACACTTTCTTATTACATGTCTATTTTTATTTTTTTACTTTTTGCCCAAGCAAAATTTGATGCTCCTTATTTGGATGCTTTGAAAATCAGGCCATTGGTGTGAAAAATCATAAAAAGATATTTTCTTTTTTCACATCTTGAAAAAACAATAGAACTATGCTCACCAAGGGAGGGGATACAGTGATCTTCATCTAAAAGCTTTTATTATGATGCTAATTGTTAGAAGTGCAGTTTGTTTACTACAAATGTCAGCCATGTTTTTATGCAAGACAGCTATAGTGGATTTAGAGCTTATAGGTTAGATAAAAAATAAAAAAAAATGTCTTTTTCAGATTTGATTTGACTTGCAACATCCATGTGTGTTTTTGTGCCATAATGACTTATGAGTAAAACCTGTCCAGATTTAGCACAGTAGTCTTGCGGCTCCTTGGTACCAATGATAATCTTGGGTACCCATTTGATGAATCAGAATCCCTGATCTTAATGTCTAGAGACCTTGCTGTCCTTTTTCTCAAATTCAAACTTCAATTTATGAGATAAAAAATACACTTAATGAGTAACACTGCAACACATCATGTCATGGCATCTTTGAACCAATCCAGCAGTTGTTTATGAACATACCTCAGTATGGTATACTAAGTAGTTACTGGAATAACTGCAATAAAACTTTTAAGACACATGCCTCTCGTGGTACATTTAAGTTAAGACAATTTTGGTTGTTCAGATTATTATTCTATTTGGAGTGTTTGACTTGAAAATAAATTAACTGTGTTGCAGTTGAAGAGCATGAGGTCTGATGGTTAGGTTTGTTGACTTTTAGTTACCGTGGATGCATTCACTACCAGATGAAATGGGTGGTGGAGGAGTCAAAAAGACCTTCTTTCTTGCATCACTGTTTTAATGCCCTTTAGTCCTTAAACTGGTTGCAACCTGCTGAAAGGGAGGGGCTCCTCCTGCCTTTAGCTACATGCACCTTCCTTTTTTCTTTTCTTTCATTTGTTCTCTCCCTCTTTCCTTTTTTGTTTCTTTAGACAGAAACATTCTCTGGCTCTCTGACTCAGTCAAACAAGTCAGCTGTATACCGTTAATAAGCATACTACTCATTTTCAGGTGTACTTGTTTCTCTTGCTTGGTTTTCTGTTTGCTTTTCCATGTTACGCCTCATGTGAGGTGTAAAGAAAGTCTTTGTTTTCATATATGCACTCAATTTGGGGAGTGAATTAGGTACCTGGTCAATAAAGACTACTCTCCACGTGGTACATTGTCTCCACCTCGCTAGGTTGTTTCCTAACCTTTCAAAAGCTTAATTGAGTCTCTTAATTATAGGCCTGTCAGGCCTGTCTTTTCCTCTCATCTTTGTGGAAGATCCTGATCCCTCTGACTCATCAGTTAGCTATGTCAAATAGAGACATGGAGGCCTTTCCAGCTTTATTTAGAGACAGCACGATTGATGTCTGGGCTGAACAAAGCCTCAAAGTAGTATATAAATGACAAACAGGTGAAATCATTAATAATTTAGCATTTAATATGCAGTTATTTTAATGTTGACATCAGCGGGGAATAACATGAAACCATATCTCTGTAAGAGGAGGTAACCAAGAAATATATTAGTAGATATGAAAGCTCTTGATATTCTTACTTGAAGGTAATCCAAATTTTTTAAAGACCATTTATACTATACAGTTTGTTTACAATAGTTTTGTAACCCATTTTCTTTTATTTCTCTTTTTAGCCACTCGAGAGTCTGCCTTTGTTCATGCCATTGCGTCAGCGGGGGTTGCTTTTGCTGTGACCCGGGCTTGCGCTGATGGTTCAGCCACCATCTGTGGATGCGACGCACGTCACAAGGGACCCCCTGGAGAGGGCTGGAAATGGGGTGGCTGCAGCGAAGATGTTGAATTCGGAAGCATGGTGTCCCGTGAGTTTGCAGACGCGAGGGAGAACCGTCCGGATGCACGCTCTGCCATGAACCGCCACAACAACGAGGCAGGAAGAATGGTCAGTTGTTCTTTAGATTCTGTAATGTAACAACTGCTCTGGTCTAAGATATACTAGTAACCTATTGGGATTTTGCTTTTATGAAAAATCTACAGTCCCTCAATGACAACATGTTCCTGAAGTGCAAGTGCCATGGGCTCTCAGGCAGCTGTGAAGTCAAGACATGCTGGTGGTCTCAACCAGACTTTCGGGTCATTGGCGACTACATGAAGGACAAATATGACAGCGCTTCTGAGATGCTTGTGGAGAAACACAAGGAGTCCCGCGGCTGGGTGGAGACATTGAGACCCAAGTACAACTACTTCAAGCCCCCCACAGATCGTGATCTGGTTTATTACGAAAGCTCCCCCAATTTCTGCGACCCCAACCCAGAGACAGGATCCTTTGGTACCCGAGATCGCATCTGCAACCTGACATCCCATGGCATAGACGGCTGTGATCTACTATGTTGCGGCAGAGGTCACAACACCAGGACTGAGAAGAGGAAGGAGAAGTGTCACTGCATTTTCCATTGGTGCTGCTATGTCAGCTGCCAGGAATGTGTAAGAGTCTATGATGTGCACACCTGCAAATAAACATGTAGAGGTTCTCAAAAAGCCATATCAGAACATTTTAGAAGGCAGAGGAACAAATACAGGTTTCTTCCTAGAAAACTTGTTTTGTTTAAACACTGACGACTGCCCTGGTGTTCTACGCTGGGATGCTACAAAGAGCGAGTCTGTGCAAATCAGCTCAACCTGAAAGCATCATTCATAAAGTGGAGTGTCTAAGGCTATGTTTTAAAGGTTTTGCATGCTGAAGTTGGAACAAAAGAACTGTTGGCAAAAAAGCAAACACCATATTGGTGTTTTTGTCTTCTATGTAAATAGTAGCTATTTTTGTTAAGAATTAAACAGCACTGTCATTGTTTCCCCTGACATTTAATCCTCTTTCAATTTTGCCACAAAAATACTTTAATTTACCTTACAAGAAACTCAACAAGCATGCATTCCCTTCCTCTGTTTATTTGTATTTCTGCCTATGTTTGAACTAACATAATCACAGTTTCATAGTGTTATTGATATTTAGTAAAGAATGCACTTGCACCTCAGTGAATGTAGCTATTTACTGTAACATGTTTACACATCCTTAAGCTAACATGTAATTATCTCATTTAAACGAATAACATTATCTAAGAGTAACCAGAGAAGCCAGACATGGTTGAACACCAGAAAAAGACGAAACGTTCAACCCATTCCATTTACTTTTTTATTGTGTAGAATTCCTGCAATGGGGTTCTGTAAAAAGCTTATATGCGGTTATATGCAATTTATTATCTGCAGCACATTACTCTCATTGGCATTTAAAACATGAAATGGTACGGAAGGCAAAAGTGATTGGCTAATCTCAGAGGAGCCAAGAAAATAGTTGACTTTTCCCATCTCAAAACAAATCCATATTTAAAAGTGTCATACTTGTCCATGCAATTTGCAGGTCAGTTGGTATTTTGTTACTTTAAAAATGCTTCACCTGTACATGATGTTGATACAGATGGACATCCAGCCCCCTGTATAAAGTCAAATTTAAAAGATATTCCAAATTTTTTTTTGGAACACTTTTGGTACAGTACAAAGTAATTGTCTATGATGTTTCTTTGTTTCATTTTAAAATGATTGTCTATAGAAACTCAAACATTTACTTTTACTCAAATGCAAAGTAAATGTAAGCAAAGAATTTTGGCTAAAAGATTGATTTGTTAGAGATTTTGGCTTCTGCAAAGAGACTGAAAATAAATAGAAAAAAAAGATTATTTTCTTGAAGTTTCTTTTAGTAAAGCTTATATTATAACTTATCTTCGTTTGTTTTTCAACAAATTTCCATCCACTTTTTTATATCATTTTCAATACAGAAAAAATGCTTTGCACATGAGTTATTCACACATTAAATAAATATATATACATATATTTAAGTAAAACCACTGTAACATTTCTGCTGCTTCCAATGCTTAACCTGTTGTTTCACCAACTTACAGTTGGTAATTGGTTCTGTTCTCAGTATGATTTTCACACAGGAACATTTTGGATGTCTACTTAGTATCTCCATTTTCATTGTAAATAACCACTGGCTTCTCTGCAATTTTTAAAAATAACGATAGCCTTTGATAGTGTTTCAAATTCAGTTAATTAATTTTTGTTCATCTATAATGTTGATAAGATCCTAGTCAAAACAGGCTAATAAAAGCCGATCATATAGGTAAAAGTCTCAGAATTGTATTGAACTGCTGACTTTGCAGCATTTTTTGGATCAACTTGTTAACCTTGCAGCAGTCTTTCATTGTGAGAAGGCACTGTGTGACAATGGAAAAGAAAAACTCCTTTTTACAGGAGAAACCTGCACCAGTACCTGATTCATTAGAAGCAGTTATTTGCCATATATGACTGTGTATGAGAAGCCAGACCAGACACACTAAGGTTATGGACCATGAACACACATATTAAAGAGAAATAAAGAACAAAAGTCTGAATATCAAGCTATATTTTATTCTTTAAAATTATGTTTAGCTTAAAAAGAGGGGTGTCCACTTTTTATCTCCTTTGTGTATTAACCGTTAGATATAAATAAATGCGCTGAGTCATTTGCTCATGAAAGACAGATTTTATTCAAAGTCCGATACTGAAATCTTTCTGTAAAATCTAGAAAAGGCTATACTTTTAAACACATTGGTGTCCAAAAGAAAAATAAAATAAAATTGTAATCAAATATCTATAGCTAAGACTTCGAGGTCAGCTGAGAAATATGAAGTGCTCTCTACCTGATTCTGATGATATTAGTAAAGTCCCATGTTATCCAATGTGGACATTACTGTTATTTGTGAAAGAGACCTGTCTTGTTATGTATAGTTATGACTTTAATCAATCAGAAGGTTACGCTGCAGCAATATTAGATAAAGATAACAAAAGGGATGAATAAGGATGTTTTATAAGCTCTTTGTATTGCATTTGCTATAGAAAAATGACCAAAACCTTTTTTTTCAATGATTCCAAGCTATGGCTTCCTGTTCCGCAAAACTAAGTAAAGAGCAGCACCAGTGAAGCTAACAACACTCCCTTATTATAATGCTGCTAAGGTATCATAAGTTCAAGTGTTTGTTTTTCAACTTACATATTTGTTCCTGTGTGATAATGTTATTATATGCATATTGTGATTCTTTCCGTGAAAGATACTTTTTATTGTAGTTGGTAAAAATGTGAAAAACGTGTTTTACAAATCTTTGCTCAAAGTTATACAGATTTATCTTAATAGAGTAATATAGAGTTAGCTAGGGTTTTTTTTTTTTTTTTTTGATTGTCTGGAAGTTCATTGTCATGCTAACTATTAAGTCAATGAGGTGGCATAGATGGACAAAAGCACATCAATATAGGGCTGAATTCAAATGCACAAGAGAAATAAAGCACAAGAATTAACAGCCAAACAAAGAAAAAAAAACATTTAAGACAGCAGAACAGGATATTTAATAAATGACAACTAACTTAACATTAAATATGGCATCATATATGAAATGTTTAGCCTATGATATACATATAAATAAAACATAAGTGGAATTCCTAAGATTATTAATCTCCATAGCTCCTTCAAAAACCTAATTACCAAGATGAAAAAAATGATAAGTAATGGCACATAGAAATTAGTATGAAGTATGAAACAGATAAAGAGGTGAATGAATAAAGAGCCTAGCAGAACATTAAACAGTTCAAATTATTCAACAAAAGACATTTCAGATTTTTTATTTGTTAATTTTTTTACTACTTATTAGGTTTTACATTTGTATTTTCTGTCCTATTTCATCAACTGTCTAACCTGTTCTGAATATATTTTGTAAGATTTTGCTGTCTTCTGTTTTTATTATTTATGTGTTTGAGTTTAGCTGTATTTTGTTGTGTTTTCCTTCTCATCACATGTAAAGCAGATCCATAGACATGATCTTCTTTGATTGGAGAAGAAACACAGGCTAATGTGTATTATCTGGGATGACCAGTGAATACCTAAATGAATGCTGAGACACAGAGCTACATATTTACTGTTTCACTGATTCTAGTTTCTGAGCTGTGGTGAAAGAAGTAAAATCTCTAAGAAATTATGTTTAATAAACTGTTTACAGTGTGATACTACTGTTTATCTCAGGCTTATATTCAGCTTTTGATAGAACTGAAAATATAACTAACCAGCTATAATCAGTTGTACTCTGAAATCATTCTTAATCAACAAAGGAGCAACCATCATTATCTAAAATTGTTTATGGCATTGAGTACAATACACTTTATATGTGAGAGAGGGGGGTTCTGTTGTATTTTCTGTCTTTTAAGTCCAAAGTTTTGTACAAATTAGTTATTGGTTTTAATGGATTTCTAAGATTTGATGTTTTTTTATAATTATTTATTACATTATCATGTACATATTAGTGAGTAATCGTATGTATTTACAGAAATGTTTTTTGAAGCAGTGTTGCGACTCTGTAGCCTTTTTACCTCATTTTGTTTTTCCACTTACAGGTGTTGATCCTAGTGCCTGTGATAGATTTCTAAAAGTTAACTCTGTAACATTAAAATTAAAAAAAGGCTGAAATCTCTGACTTTTTTTTTATATTAAATCAAAAAAGAAATCAGAAGTCTTATTTATAAGACATTGCATAGAATCCATACTAAAGTTGAACTTCACTAAACAAGTGATTTTGACTGTTGCATGACAGTTTTTGTTTTTTTCTTACCGGAGAGATTTATCCAGGTCTAAAAATAGATGCCATGGATGTTGATGATTTACTTGCATATTTAACCATATGCGGTATTTAGCTAAAGATTAGCTTGAAATGTTGAGACTTTGTTTCCTCAGTGGTGGCTGTGGGGTAAGTTGAGCCAAGTGCCTTAGGGTAAGTTGAGTCATTAGTTAATTTCCAAAAGTGAATTTCTCCAAACGTTAATTTCGTTGGCGTATTCAATGATAACAGTAAATTACCTGCACTTATATGGCACTTTATCAAGTCCAAGGACTCTGAAGTTCTTTACACTTCATTCAGTCATTCACACACTGATGGTAGAAAGCTATACTGTACCCACCACAGATCTGGGTCAGACTGTTCCACCTGGTCTCAGCAGTTGTTTTCATCGGGTTCTGTCTTCTGCACTGAATCATCCTTCGCCATCATGTGTCTCCTGATGTCCTGTTACTGATTTAGCCCTCACCAAAACAAATCTTGACAGACTGACATAAATGTGGCCATCATATATTTGGTCTCTCTGCACCAAAACAGCAGGTAAGGCAGGGGAAGTGTCTTGCCAAGGACACACTGACATAGCCAGGTGGAGCAGTGGCTCAACTAGGCATAGACCATTACATTGGATTGGTTAAGAATATTGAGGGCAAAGAAAGGAGTGCAAAATTAAATTTAAGAATCAGAGGGAACTCTATGAAAGAGACCCCAACTTTTGCTTTCAAGGAAAATTGTGAGCCTTTTTTAATTATTTTTTTTATTTTATTTAGTTATTAATTTTGTATTTCCATCTTGAGGAATGTAATGTGAAGTCTCAGTTGTGTAGAAAACTTCTCTGTTCTTTTCATAAGGTTAGAACAGTTGTTACAGGTTTACTGTTTGATAATGTTCAGTCATTGCATTATTTTTGTAAAATGTAAAAAATAATGTAAGTTATGTATTACATTTTGTGCAGCCTCGTACCAAATGAAGCATGGACCGGTGCAAGCATATATCACCCTACAGTTTCATATCTGATATCTGATCTAGATATAACATTTCCTAAGTGAAGTCAGAGTAATTGAGAGGAGTAATGCAATCTAGCTAGAATTCATCAACCTTCGGTTTTAACAATTTCTCATGTCTTTAGAATTTGCATAGCCTATGGTGTTGGTGTGAAGGATAGCACATTTTCATGCCGGGTTTGTTTATAATAGACCACAGCTTCTGCATAAAAAGGGGCATAGGCCATTAATACAGGCATACGCTCCTTATACTTTAAGTGTTGCTAAAGTTTTCACCTTACTTATCTTTACCAAACTTTTTATAACATAAATAATCCCTATTATTTGAAGAAATGCATTGTATTCTGTACTGTGTTTACTTAATCATCCATATTTTACCCAATAAAGCTCTGAAAAACACAAACCATTCACAAAGTTTTGGACATGGGAACTGCTTTTATCCAACAACTATATATAATGTATAAGGACAATACAAACTATTATATTATGTGTGTGGTCAAGTGAACTTTGTGTGATCAAGATAGATTTATTAAAAAAGTATAGCTAGATGATCACCAATACTACCACCACAACTAAGAGTAGCTTAAACCTAAGATGGGTCCAACTATTTAAAGTTAAGAACACGTCATGACTTGCAGACCAATGTTTGTGATGCCATCGACACACACAAGCAGACACCAAAGCATGATAGAGCTTCTACATGGGCTTTGTAACTAACAATTCTTGGGCTTTTAACCTCCTGCGTGGTATTCTTCTCTTATGTTCTCTGTGTTTGTGACATCTAATAAAGCAATAAAACCACTTTGAAAAATGATTCATATGCATTCAACCACCTATAAGAAAAAAAGAGTGACACATTTTCACATTTCATATGATTTTTATCTTTGTCACATTAAATCTATCTTTCAATATTTCCTATCACAACTAAATTCAGATAACTGGCATCCATCTCAAAAAAATCTAATAGCATACTTAGTATGACAGTGCAAACTGACATTATGGCATTTAAAACAAGATGTGATTTAGTTTTAGTAGCAATTTATAGATCTGTAGCTCTTTTAGTTTAAAGGTATAGTGGAGGAGGTTCTTTTTCTGAGTGGATCATCTAAATAAGTGGTCCTCCTAATTGTCAATCATTGTGGTGATATGTTTACTAAGGTCGTCCTACGTGCTCATCTCCATTTTTAATAACCAGTGGTGATTTTGACATAATGAAAAAATTGCAACTCTTCTTTGAAAAGTAAGCTTGTATGAGCGATGCAAACAGCAACTTTTAAACAGAGTGTGCATGAGGAGAAATGGGCTTGTGCATGCTCTTGCACGCGTTTAACAGTCATTCCCTCTCGGGAGCAGGTACAGGGTTGTGCAGGTGCATTTTTTATTTCAGTGGAGGGGGTGGGTCTTTTAAAAAATCATGAAAATCCTCCACTATACCTTTAAACATACTTTTAGTTGACTAAGTTAACTTTAAATCTTTGTAGTCACAAACAGTAAGCTTATATAGTGCAAAAACAAAACATAAGTGAAAATACAGCACTCAGCCCTTGGTTCACTAAGCAATACCAGTACATATGCTGTGTTTTCCAAACCCTGAGATTTTTGAGTATTTGATTTCGTTTTTTGGGACAGAAAGAGACTGAATAAGCTGGTGAAAAGGGCCACTTCTCTCCTGGGATACACTCTGTACTGAGGACGTGTCTGAGTGTAGGGTGTTGTTCAAACTTACGTCCATCATGGACCTAACACCTGTCACCCCCTGCACCAGAGTGTAGAAGAGCTGAGCAGCTCCTTTGGTGAAAGACTTAGGCCCCGTCCACACGAAGTCAAAACGAACACGAAACGCTGATATTTTCCAAAACGTTTGCCATAAAGACGGAGACGTAAAATAAATGTGAGCGTCCACACGAATGCATGAAAA